ATAATATATGAACGAAAATACAACATAATAAAATTTTTACACATAAACGTAAATAATTTAAATAATATAATTTTATATTATTACTTGTATCGCAAAACTATTTCGACGTATATTTCCGCTTTCTAATTTTACAAACACAGAAATTAATTGACAACAATTAGTATAATATTTTTTCAAATAATCATAATAAACAATAAATATAATAAAAAGTTATCACAAAATTACCTTATAACGAAAAATCGAACAAACTTCTGAATAAAATATGAGAAATTGTCTGAATTATTGACTCGTTGACGGAATTGTTGTATTAATTTATAAGTTGAGAGGAGAGATGTGAGGAACTTAATCGGGGAGAAGGGTATTTATAGCCGATCTTCATTATTTTGAGTTTAGTTATTTTATTTTATTTTGAGTTTAGTCATTATATTCTTTGTAAGATTATTTTATTTTATTTTGAATTTAATACAAAATTTATAATATTTATTTTGTAAACATATTTTACAATGTTAAATATGAAGATGCATAAATTAGAGAAATTATATTTGAATTCAGCAATTAAATAAAGGGAAACTAATTGTTTAGTACCTAAAGTATCACTTATGTTCCGTTTTAGTACCTAAACTTTTAATTTTTTCAAAATCATATCTAATGTTTACTTTTTGTTTCATTTTAGTACCCATTGTTAACTTTTTGTTTCATTTTAGTACCTAAATTTTTAACGGCGAGGTACTAAAATAAATAAAAAGTAAATTTTATGTATGATTTGAAAAAAAAATAGAAGTTTATGTACCAAAATGAAGTAAAAGTGATAGTTTAGATACTAAATATGTAGTATACCCTTAAATAAAATTAAAAAATTTATTTAAAAACATGTTATTTTAGTAAGAAAAAAATCAATTTTTTTGATGGAACCTACTCATCATCACGTAATCCTTAGTCTTAGTAGATGAGAGATACGACTTTTAAAATAAATTATAAATAACTACTCGTTTCTTATTTACACTAACAAAGAAAAATAAAGATTGATCTTGAAAAAATTAATATAAAAAATATTATTAATTAAAACTTCTAATAAATTTTCCCACTACTGATGTTAATGAAACATGTGAAGATCCCAACACGCAAACGGTGTGTGATTCTTTTTCCTCTAGCACTTTACCCACTCCCACCGTCGATACTTAAACAATGCACCTTCGTCATCAGCGTCACCATTGTTGCCTGACTCAGGAGGCCGTCATTTCAACGTCCAAACACCCCCCACGCGCTCCCTCTACGGAGATTGGAGAGATAAGAACTTTCTGGGACCCACACGCTCGCTACAAGAATCTGTCGGCAGCCATCGCGTTATAGCAAATCTTAAACGGTTCCTTTTGTGGTTTTCTTTTCCTGGTTTTCTGTTTTTATGTTTCTTGTCGTACTGATAGAAACTCCGTGATCCTGTCGCGGACGGCGGCGGAGGCCGTTCAACGTTGTCTGTTTTCTTTCATTGTAATTCATGTTTTATTACTCGAACGATTCTTTATCTAGTGTTTCGCATGATTAATTTAAGGGTAAAGTATACCATAGGGCGTTGAGTTTGGTTATTTAACTTTCACAAAATATAAAATTATTAAATTATGATAAAATAATCGCTAAAACGAATTATAATTATAAGCGTTCAATTATAAAATAAATATAATGATGCGTTTGACGATTAAAAAATCATTTAAATATTATTAGTGACTTTCCGTCTTAATTAATTTATTATTAATACCGCCGTTAGTTTTGGTGTGTTTTCTTGGACGGTGGCTAATTCCGTGGTCCCGATGTAGAAAACGCAAAATAGACGTTGCCTTCCAATGGAATAATACATCTTGGCAAGTTTCCTATAAAAAATACAAAAATCCTATACATGTATGAGAGCAGACAAAACAATTCATTCCATGCATTACCCATAACATGAAGGATCGTGGCGCCCATGACGATGAATTTTCCTGGAAAAAAACGGGGATAGAATGGTGGGTTATTTGAGTCCCTCCGGAAGTTGCCTTGTAGGGTCGGGTTCTTTAACCTGACATTGAGAGGTTCTACGTTATCAAAAAAAATATTTAAACCAAAAGAGAGGAGATAAAAGAATCTTGTAAATATTGACTTTAGATAATTTCACATCTTATTATAATTGTCAAACAATGTAGAATTATGTTTGAAGCCAATGTAACATAACCAAGGCAAATATCAGTGGTTTAGTGTGTAATTAAATATATTGAATCTTAATAACATAAATTGGATAACATAATTCAGATGATATTTGTATAATAAACTCCTCCATTACATAATTTAAGATGTATTTTTTTATGCAATAACTTAAGACGTATTTAAATCTAAACAATGAGAATATGATTTATTTTGTTTAATTTCGAAAGTAATTGTTTAATTTATAATTAATACAATTAAAAAGTAATTAAACTTAGAAATGTGGACCTCGTTGTTTTATTTACGTAGTTTCAAAAACTAATAATATTAAGAAATACAGTTTAGAAAACTAATAAGATTAAGACATTATTGAACCAAAAAAACTAAAAACCATAATTTAATTTATTTAATTTCAAAATTAACATAAATCTAAGAAGTAATTGAACTCGTTCCATCTATGGTTTCACACGTGGACTAATCGGAGGCTTTAGAGGATGATATTTACCATTGATTAACGTAATTGATATCTATATTTGTACAAATTGATCAAGAGTTGTGGATTAGATTGTATTTAGATATGATTGATTAAAATGATTTCGATAGATAAATCTGTACGTGGCCCAATAATACGTCGTGGAGGGAAGTTAGGCATGTTAATCTCACCAAATAATTTCTGGACATATAATAACATTAGCCAATTAGAGAGAGAGAGAGAGAGAATTAATTTTTTATTTAAAAGAAAGTTGTCACCTCATAGGAAACGAATTAATGGCAATATTATATATAATGCAAAGCCGGCAGCCGCCCCACACTCTTCAACCTAACCTGACCTTTCCTTATTGCTATCCTTTTATTTGGGCCCCACATTCCACTATTTTTTTATTTTATCAATTTTATATTATTTATTTCAGAAAAAATATAGTATTCATATACACTTTATCCTGCAGCGAGAAACGTGGCGCAACATGAGGCATTGATAATAATGACGGTGGGAAAACGTAAAGAAAAGGAGGTCCCACCGGCACCCACAGCTTTTAACGCTAAGTCGCAAATGCCCCCGACCCGCCGTCGTAGATGTCTTGTTACAACACGTCACCGTTCCTCATGTCTTTATAATATTCACTTAAAATATGAATTAATATTTCATAATATTCTTAAACTAATAAGATTATTTTTTTATAAATCTAATCCAAATTTATTTTAAACCTAATCGTTCAACTTTCTTCCTTTCATTTTATTTTCTATCAAATCAAGTCAAACTTTTACTCCAAAACAAATAATTAGATTAACAAAAAATTTAATTAAAATTATATTAATATCCAATTTTAAAATGTAACTCTAGTTTCTAGAAAGATAACGTGGATGCATAGTACACTTTGATTATTTTTTAAAATTATATATAACGTAAAGTTTTATTTTGTTCTAATTATTTATTGTTAAAAAATTAATAACAATGATAATGTGATATTTTTATAATACTTTTAATTTTTACATCATTATATTTATTATCGGTTGAATAAAATCAATTAAAAACAATAAAAGAAGAATGCTATATAAATATAAAAACAAAAAACATATTTAAAGATCAGTGAAATTTTTTAATGAGAAATGATTAGAATAAAAACAAATAATAGTATTAAATATGATTTAAAACATAATTAAAATATCAAAAGATAAGCTTAAAAAGAATGAATGATTAAATACGTAATTTACCCTATTTTATTGTTTATGATCAATAAAATGAACGTAAGCCGTATGGCATAATCGAGTATATATTAGTAATAAAGAAAATATTTTATTATAAAAAATCAATAATTGTGGGAAAGCGAAATCTTTGACTATGAGCCTTATAGGCATCGATGACCGAAGACCGGACCCACAGAGAAAATGCGGCAGCCGCGCTTCCACACTTCCCACTAACAGCGGTGGCTCCCTCGTGGGACCCGGTCTTGTCTCCTTTTGATTTTTTTTTCTCATTACAATGATTAGTGTTTTGGATAGCGGTAGACATACGGATTCAAAAGGATCGGACGGTAACACGTGCAGTTAATCACGGATCTCGAGTTCTTTATTCCGATAATAATTTATGGATTAAATTTTTTAATATTTTAGATTCAAATGAATTTTAGTTTGATTATTAAATTAATTTTTACGGATCTACTTTTTTTTTTAATTTTTATTAATCGATTGTTGCGTAAATTTTAATGTTGGTTATCGACCGTCGATTTTTTTAATAATAATAATTATATCTTTGTACCATATTTATTCCTATATGTGTGATACGTATATCTCTATCTTTGAGACATGTTTATTTTTATCTTTGAGACATGTTTATTTTTATCTTTGTGACACGTTCATTTTTTTCGTTCGTTTTTTGATCTTTTATTTATATTTTATCATGATTAGATTTGACGACGACACAGTTTGATAAAGATGCTTTTTTGGGTAGTTTCTAATGATATTTGACTCTGATTTGTAGTTCTCGATAGTCTTTTAATAGCTTAATTTTCTTTTATACTTCATTCGGTGATGCATCAAATTTGTTCGTATCTACATTTTTTGAGTTTTTTATTGATTTTTTTTTTCATTTTTCCTGAATTGTCATTATATGATTTATAATTGTTAGTTTCCATGTTATAATAAAATGTCCAAATTACGTATTTAATTTACGATGATATTTGTAAACTTTTATTGTAATTTTAGGTATTTTAACCTTTTAATAATATTAGCAGGCCTAATGCTCCCTCAGAGTTTCCTCCTCGTTTATGATCCTGGTTCGTTCTTGCTTGCTTTTAAGTTCTCTGGTTTTCGTTTTCTGTTTTCTTTGCATGGATTTACGGTGTTCGAGTCTCGATTGGAAGAAGTTGTTCGTGGGTTCAAAGGAGCAATCCCTTGATTTTTTCCCTCCCGAGTCTAGAGATGGGGTGACCACTGTTATTCCTCCGCCTGAGGTGATCGATGAAGGCATTGCGGATTGGAATCACGCTTTGGTAGGTCAATTTATTGGCCCTGCTCCAAGTTATGGCTCTATGCAACGAATCATTGAATCAATTTGGGGGAATTCTTCACAAGTCAAGGTTAGTGTAGCCGGCCCTAACCTATTCATTTTTCATTCCTATATTCTGATTTGAAGGAATGGGTGCTGGATAATAGACCTTGGCATGTCCATAACAAACCATTAGTTTTGCGTAAATGGGTTCCTGGATTGCAGAAGCTAAGTTTCGATCTGTCTTGTATGCCAGTCTGGGTGCAGCTTCATAATGTTCTCCTAGAGCTTTTTTCTCAAAAGGGGTTAAGCTATATAGCTAGTGCAATAGGTAGGCCTTTGTACATGGACACCATAACGGCCTCCAGACAGAAGCTTGAATTCGCTAAGGCCTGCGTGGAAATAGAAGTTGGAGGCATTATTCCTGACTCTATTTCTGTTATTTTAAATGATGGGTCACCAGTGATCATCAGGGTGTTTGTGCCCTGGCTTCCTCAGGGTTGTACTGTTTGCAAAACTTTTGGTCATCATGCTAACTCATGTACTGAGGCTCAACTGTCTACTCAAAAGCCTAAGGAGATCCAAGTTTGGAGGAAAAATGAGTTGGCTTCTTTGGTTACTGGTACTAAGAAAATTCAAGCAAGTGCCAATGTTTCTAATGCTGAACTTAAAATTGCTAATAAGAAGGTGCATTTTAGTTCTGATACTCATTCTGCCAATGGTCAGTCAATTGAATTGGCACAATATGTGGATTTTCAGGTCGGTACTGCTATGGAGGCTTCAGTTAAAGACTTGCAGGAGGGCAGTGAGGTAATTGTGGAGACTTCGGATAATGCCTTGCAAGAGGGTAGTGGGGCAATTGTGGGAATGCCACCTGACAATCCTGCTCAATTCCTGCAGAATGAATCTATTCCTCAGAATGAATCTGTTTCTTGCCTGACTGAGATTAGCTCTAGAATTAATCCCTCGCATGATGCTCTTCCTGGTGATTTTCCTTCTCTTCAGGATTCTTTGAAGAAGAAAACAAAAGGGAGAAAGAAGGAAACTGTGGATTCCTTTAGTAAACTGTAGGGTGTTGCAGAGGGGCCTAGGAAAACTAGAACTGCTTCCTTGGGGGTGGCTATGTTGCTAAATGAGATAAAGACAAAAAAGAAGGATCACTTGGAAAAAGCTAAGAGTACTATAGTGAATTCGAGTGTGGGTGGTCTCGTGTATTCCATTCATTCTCAATGATTATAGGGTTTTGGATATGAGGGGGATAAACAATTCCCTCAAACAGCTGAAAGTGCTTAGAAGATTGGATAAAGCTGGGGTGGATGTTATGTGTTTGATGGAGACTCGTATTCGGAGGGAAAATGATGATATTTTCTCTTCTTCTTTGATTGCTGACTGGAATTTTGCTGAGAATTATGACTTTATTGATGGGGGTCGAATTTGGATATTTTGGAGGAAACACTTGACGTTTTATGTGTTGCGGAAACATGATCAAGTTGTTACTATTTGGGGGATAGTTGATGGGCATAGGACAGCTATTACGGCTGTTTATGCCAATAACATTGGAGTTGCTAGAAAGGGACTTTGGGAACACCTAACCTTTGTTGGGAATGAGGTTGGAACTTTCTCATGGGTAATTGGGGGGGACTTCAATATTATTGCAAAAGCAGAGGAGAGCTCTGATTTTGATATTATGGGTATTCACTGCACCCCTGACATGAAAGACTTTCAGGATTGCTTGGAGAATCTTGACCTCATGGACCATCCGTTTATTGGGCCATTATTTACATGGTCGAACAAGCAGGATGAATCTTATTTAGCTCGTAAATTAGATAGGATGTTAGTCAATGATCAGTGGCTGCTTGATCACCCTGATTCTTTTGCTGAATTTGCTGCCCAGGGAGTTTTTGACCACTGCCTTGGTTTACTCTGGTCACACAAGGATGGCATGACCAAGAGACCTCGCCCTTTTAAATTCTTTAATTGCTGGACCAGGCATGAGCAATTCTTGGGTATTGTTAGAGATGCTTGGTATGGACAGAGTGGGGATAATTCCATGAGCTGCTTGTTCCTCAAGTTGAAAAGGCTCAAGCCCCGTCTAAAGGAATTGAATAAGGAGTACTTTTTTGATATCTCTAGCAGGGTAAGTAGCAAAAAGGATGAATTAGAATTGGCTCAAATTTTTAATCTGGCTCACCCAGAGCAGCGAAAAGTTGATGATGAGAGGAGGATTCAAGCTGAGCTAGTGGATTTGGAGATTGTAGAATCTATTTTCTACAAGCAAAAAGCAAAAGCTCACTGGCTTAGGGAAGGTGATTTAAACACCAGATTCTTTCATCAGAGGACACAAGTAAATCAGAAAAAGAATACAATCAGATTAGTTATGGGTGAGGATGGACAGATATATGATACCTTTGATGGTATGGCTGCAGAGTTAGTGAAGTTCTTCACTAATCTTATTGGCTCCACTGACCCTTTGGTTAAGGGTTCCCCTATTGAGAGTTTGAAAGATTTACTGAGGTATTCTCTGCATGATGGAGCTGTTTCTTTTCTCACTAAGGAGGTTAATAATTTGGAGATTAAAGAGGCTTTATTTAGGCAAGGGAATGACAAAGCCCCGGGTCCAGATGGCTTTACTTCTGGTTTTTTCAAAGTTGCCTGGGAAATTGTGGGCAGTGACTTTATTTGTGCCGTGAGGTATTACTTCCAAACTTCTTTCTTGCTGCCTACTTTTAATGCTACAACTTTAGTGTTGGTTCCAAAGTCCTCAAATGCTTGCTTTGCAAAAGATTTTAGACCGATATCTTGTTGTTCTGTAGTCTATAAAACTATAACTAGAATCCTTGTGGATAGACTTGTTCCCTACTTTCCTGAAATGATTTCCAAGAATCAGACAGCTTTTGTTAAGGGCAGGAATATAGTGGATAACACTTTGTTGGCTCAGGAAGTGGTTAGAGGATATTCTAGGAAAAATCTTTCTCCTCGGTGTGCTATTAAAATAGACCTCCAGAAGGCTTTTGACTCTGTTAATTGGGATTTTTTGCTGAACATTCTTAGAGCAATGGGTCTTCCTGAAATGTTTTGCAATTGGATCAGTGGTTGCATTACTACTCCTATGTATTCTATTTCTTTGAATGACAGCCTGGTGGGGTTCTTTAAGGGTGCAAGGGGGATTAGGTAGGGTGACCCATTTTCACCCTATCTTTTTGTTATAGTGATGAATGTGTTGTCTTCTCTCTTGAATATTGCTGCTATGAAGGGTGTTTTTAAGTATCATCCCAAATGCAAACGAATCCAACTCACCCATCTTTGTTTTGCGGATGATCTATTGGTCTTTTTTCATGGTTCCTTTGAATCTGTGCTTGGAGTCCAAAGTACTTTGGAAATGTTTTATGAACTTTCAGGGCTTAAGTTAAATGTCTTGAAAACTGAATTCTTTGCTTGTGGCTTGAGTTAAAACACCCTTGATCAGATCCGGTTAGCTACTGGCTTTAGAGTGGCTCAGCTTCCAGTTTGGTATCTTGGGGTTCCCCTAGTCACTCGAAAGCTCACTGGTAAGGACTGCACTGCTCTGCTTGAAAGAATTAAGGACAAGTTGAGCCAATGGTCCACCAAAAAACTTAGTTTTGGAGGGAGATTGCAGCTTGTTAAGTCGGTCCTCTTCAGCATTTTTAATTTTTGGTGTAGGCAGCTTATCATACCTAAAGGGATCATTAGGGATGTTAAGAGGCTTTGTATGCGGTTTTTTTGGAAGGGTTGTGACGCCTCGGCTAGAAGAGCCCGTGTAGGCTAGAACCAAATTTGCTCCCTTAAGTCTGAGGGTGGTTTGGGACTTAGGGATCTTTCTCTTTGGAGAAAATCTTGTTGTCTGTTGCTTATAAGAAATATCTTAGCGGAGGAAGGCTCATTGTGGATCGCCTGGGTGAAAGCTTATTGTTTCCAATCTGCGAATTATTGGGAAGCAGTCTGTAAACCCCACTACAGCTGGATTTTGGCTAAACTTTTGAGTCTGCGAGATCTTGCGAGTAATCTGTTTCATCCTGGTACTAATTTGCGCCTTATTAATGGCAAATGGGTATGTGACTGTATTAAAGTTAGAAGGGAGAAGGTGAGTTGGCATAAGCTTATTTGGTTCCCGTCCCATATTCCCAAGTTCTCCTTAATCTCGTGGATGGCCATCCTCGATCGGTTGCCAACTAAAGACAGGCTTTCCCGTTTTGGTTTAGCTGTTGATGCTGCTTGTTTGGTATGTGGTTCAGACTCTGAATCAAGGGATCACTTATTTGTTGCTTGTCCTTTTGCTATGGATGTTTGGAACACTGTTCTAAGCCTTTGTGGTACTCGTTGTGCTGCTCTTATCTGGGATCAGCGCCTTAGCTGGATGGTTGGAAACATGAAGGGCAAAACTTTTCGGGTACGGATTCTAAAACTTGCTTGGACTGGTTTTTTGTATTATACTTGGGAAGAGCGTAACTATAGGCATTTTAGAGGCATCTCAAGCTCAAGTGAGGTAATTGTAAAAAGAATTAAGGAGGCAGTGAAAGCAAAATTGTATAGCCTTAGTTTACATAGAGTAGATGATGGTAATAGATTCTTGTACATAAACTGGGAACTGTTTTAGTTCATGACAGTTCATTTTGTAGCAGCTAAGCTGTGGTTTTTTTGAATGGAATATAATTTACTTATCCAAAAAAAATATTAGCTACTTTTATTCTAGAAAAAAGAGAGAAACAAATTAATTAAATATTTTTTTATTAAATATATAATTGGGGTAGAGAATAAGGGCTAGATATGAATTCTAAATTTAATGAGTTATGATGTAATATAATTTAATAATTTGTTTTGATTTTTTTTAAGTTAAGTTTAATATTTTTAAGGTGAATATTATTGATTCGGTCTGATTTAATTTTATATTATAATTATAATTATTATATATGTTATGTAGATTCTTATCTTATCTAATAAAAATAAGATTATATATATTTTTATATAAGATGGATTAGAATGTAATTGTAAATTTTATCTTAAAATTCGAGTTTATAAGATTATTTATATATTTTAGGAGATTGAACCTCCTTAATTTTAGATTATATTAAATGATAAATGAAAAAAAGTAAATTTCAGGTGGATTGAAAATTTATCCTGACCTATTTCATTATCCCTACAAGGCTTTCGAAGGTTTTATAAAGGGAAATTAAGTACCATTATATATAAATGTCCGAAGAAATTGATCTTACATTAACTCATCGGAAATTAAAAATACAGGAAATAGTTAAAAACAACAGACAATATCTAACATTTCTCTGTTGCAAAAAAGGGGAGATCAACTTCATCTACGTATTTAAGGTCGCTCTCGCGTAATTTTTAACATTCTGCGGGGTTTTTTTTCATAAATAAAAGTGGTTTTGTGGGGGCTAAAAAGATTAATAATTTCAACGCATCAAAAGGAAAATTAGTGCTTTCCGGCTCTAGACATCGGCGATGGCAGGCTGGTTAAGATCTATATCGAGAAGCGGACGCCGTTTGATCTCGTCGTGGTTTAGATCAACGATGGACGATGAATACGAGTCGCTCTGTACCTCACCACCGTTGAACGTCTCATGATAATCACGATGATCGAATCTCAACAGTTGGAATTGCTGTCCTTTCACAACATTAGGCCGAGCCAACGCATCGAAGTAAAAAACTTGGGGACTCGCCATGACAGCCGGAACGCCGTTGTCGAAAACACCAACGACCGGCGAAAAAGGGAACCGAACGGCGGGAGATCCGTACCCGGAAACCGCCCCGCGTCTGAGGTTGAGATCCAATGGGGAACAATCGAGCTTGAGTGACGTCGGCTCACGGCTTGATGACTCCACCGTGCTACTCTGGCTAGAGCTCTGATTGTTGTTATTATCATTATTGTTATAATTACTTTCAATGTTGAGAATTTCACCGGGGAGGGGGAAATTAGTCTTCGCCTTGGCGCCGCGGAACTCCCTGGCGGCGGCGTCGTAGGCTCTGGCGGCTTCCTCAGCCGTATCGAAAGTTCCTAGCCAAACACGGCTCTTTTTCCCTGGATCTCTGATCTCAGCTGCGTAACGACCCCATGGACGCTTACGTACACCTCTGAAATGAGCCTCTTTACTATCTCCGTTGCCGTTTCCCTTTACGTCCGCCGTTTTTTCCCTCGGCGCCATTAACGTATTCCGATTACCCCGTTTTAAGAAAGAAAGTGACGAAATTTGTTTGTGCTTTGTAACGAAGGGCGGGAGGGCGAGTTTTTATAGAGTGGGAGGACGAATCGGCGAGGAATTGAAGGAAGCGAGGTGGCACAGTCAACTAATAGATTTGACTGACTGATGGCAGTTTTGTAAATTTAAGCAAACGTATATTACGTGGCTTGTGGGTTGTCTTGAAGACAGCATACCTATCTGTCTCTATCATCATTATTATCATCTAACGGCAGTTATACTACGGTTGATTGTGTGCGGTGGTATGGGCTCCTCTCATTCTCTCAACCGGCGTGTCCATTCAACACTCTACTTTTCTAAAAAATTGTATCCGAAACATTCATCCAATAAATATATCTATATTGTAAAAAATTAATTTAACTCAGTTTTCATAAATTGTTATCATACTTATCGACATAATATTATTGACTACGAATATTATAAATAAAAAGCATTATATTATTGAAATTTATGTAATTTTTAATTTATACTGCTGAAATAAAATTAAAAAATATTTATATAAATGCAGAAAACAAATTTTATATTTATAATTAATTTCAAATTCATGTATTTCATTGTATGTACTTTTAAAATTTTAATGATATTGGAAAAAAGGTAAACTATCTTATTAATCACTACATCAATTTTGATTATTAAGTTTTTCAATAAAATCATCACTGATATAATAAATATTCTTTTATTAAGTAATGCACCAAAAGCAAATTTTAGTGGTTAATAATTTAGTGATCAGTAGAATAATTTTCTATTGTAAAAATGAAGCGCGTGAGACATTGAGGTGAAAGTGACAAAAGGAAGTTGAAAAGTTGTCGGCATGTTTCGCTAAGGCGCCGTGCGACTTTAAAGCTAAAGCCACGCCATCATTTAAATTCCCCCTGTTGAACCGCTCGCAACGAACGAATGATGTTCTCACACCGCCCAATCAAATCTCGACATGTTACTTCCGTTCAAATTGATGGGCAGTCTAAAAGCCACATGAGCAGACTCGGACATCTAGTATTGATCTCACCCGACAGGCATCTTCCCCCATTCCCTTCATTCTTTGAGTGTAGTACACGCTCTTCATTAAGCAAAATTACTCCACTACCCATCTTAATGGTTTCAAATAGGCTTTTGGGTCAAAGTTGTGTATGATCAAATTGTTAGAGGATATCAATAGTGCTAATGCAGTGTGCTTTTAAAAGCATCATTTAAATGAAGTTTGGTGATCAACGTGTGTGCGCGACTAAAAATGTGGATAATTTTACAAAATTTCAGGGACTAAAAGTTTTTTTAAAAACATATAAAAAAATTTAAAATATATTTTTTGGAAAGGGGATGATTCTGCTACCTCAGGAGCTTGGGGGTTAGTTGGGGACAGGTTTGCACTCTTCGTTCTAAGGGAGGACGTAGGCTTAGGGACACTAGGAGTTGGAATAAGGCTTGTTCTCTTTTCTTAATTCGAAAAATTCTGGCTGGTGAAGGGATTTTATGGGTGACTTGACTAAATGCTTATGTTTTTAAAAGAGTGGACTTTTGGCATGTTCAGGGGAAGCCGAATGTGAGTTGGATTATCAAGAAGTTCTGTTTTGAAAATTGGACCAGATCGGTCGGTTTAACCGGCTCAATCGAGAACCTTTGCTTAGTCCGGTTCAATCTAAACCGGTTGAATCGCTATTAGTGAACCGGTCAGAACCGTTGAACCGTTCGAACCGGACCGGCTGAAAACTGAAAAAAACCGGGAAAAATCGAGATTTTTGTTTTTTTTTTAAAAAAAATTAAACCAAACAACATCGTTTGTTAAACGAGCCAAGTCGAACTCGAGTATTGCTGAGCTCGACTCGAACTTGAAAACTTTAAAAGTAAACTCAACTCAACTCAAACTCACAAGCTAAAAATTATCAAGTTCAACTCAAACTCGAAATATAATATCGAAACTTAAACTCAAAAAGGTTTGAACTCAAAAAAAAATTAGAAGCTCGATTGAAGCCTAAAATTCGAGTTTGATTGAAGTGAAAGAATAGTTCACTCAATGCTCACCAAAAGGCTCCATGATTTTGAATGCCAAATTATCTCTATTATTTATAGAAGTTAGTTGTGATGCGCTTCTATGTTTCTTAGTAATGTGAGATTGTTTTGTTCTCATATTTTTACTCTTTAAACTTTTAGGATGCTCTTCTATGTTTCTTAGTCATGTTGGATTGTTTAAAAAAAAAAATTAAACCAAACAATATCATTTTGTTATGATTTTTAACCCCAAATTTGTTTTTTAATTATAGTTTTTATAATTATATTTATTATTTAATATGTTTTATCTTAAATATTATGTTGTAGTTAATTTGAATCATTTTGTTTCACTTGATTTTATGGTTTTTAACTTATATATGTTATGACTTGTGATATAAAAAATTATTTTTATTAAATATTTTTGTATTTTTATTTAATTTTTTAAATAATTATGACGTCGTCCGGTTATTCCGACCGGTCGAACCGATTCGACCTGTTGAATCAGTAAATCTGTAGCATGACCAGTTCGCTAATCGGTCCGGTTCTGAAAACCATTTACTTGACTAGAATTGAAGCTCGTCCCTCTTTGAATCTGCTTCTAATTTTGATTCTATTATTGTTAGTTGGATTTGGTTGACGATTAGAGAGGCGGGGGCTAAGGTGCCTTGGCATAAGGCAGTGTGGTTCCCTATCACATCTCTAAATATGCAATTATTGGTTGGATGTCAATCTTGGACAGACTCCCACCAAGGACAGGCTGTTGCATATGGGAATTGAGGTGGACGTAAAGTGTGTTTTTTTGTGATGATGCAGAGACCATAGATCATCTCTTCTTGTTTGCCCTTTCTCAATAGGTGTTTGAGAAGCTATTTTGGCAAAAGTGTAATCTTGCCCGTCGTGCTGGGATGCGGAGCTAAACTGGGCTGTTGCTTGTCTTATGGGTAAATCTCTACTCGATTTATCCTTAAGTTGGTTAGGAGTGCTTGAGTTTACTTTGTTTGGGATGAAAGAAACAAAATGTTATTTAAGGGTGTTTGTATGGATGCCACTACGATCTTGATACTGTTGAATTAAACTTCGTCATACTTGTATAGATACGAATGATGGTGTAAATAGGGATTTATGTTCAAGTTGGAGGAATACTTGTAGGGTTTAAGGTGTTTTTGTTTGTTGGTTTCTTTGTATTTTGTAGCAGTTTTTACTGTTTTCTTAGATAAATAAACACACTTTTCCGCACAAAAAAAAATATCTAAAATATATGATGATTTTTAATTTTTAAGATGAAGGTGATTATCCATGTTCGTCCCATTTGATCCATCCCCGAACATAAAAATTTCAATTTTAACTTAAAAAATTGTGTTATTAATGAGTTTTTCAATTATAATTATTTTTATTTTTTTAATTTTATATTAACCTATTATTTTAGGCTCCACATGTTGAAGTATTATGCATCGTACGATGTAAAAGGGCCACGTGACATACGACTGCCAAATGCATGGATGAAGGGATATAGACATTTTCAAATTTTGATGCCATTTTTGAATCCATAGAGTTTCACTAATTTAATTGTCAACCCGATTTGTTTTGATGTTGCAACTGTTGGGGAAATTGGGTTATTTATCACATGAATATAGTTTTAAAATTGACCTAAAACGTCAAGATTAAAACTACTAAAATTGCACGACGGACTAACCCGTCAAACTATTGAATATTGAAATATAATAGAAAAACCCAATAAAAATAATAGAGAGAACACACCAAATTTACGAGGTTCAACGAAAATATCATCTACTCCTCAGACACCACCAACAGATGATAACTTCACTATCAACAAAATATTACAAAAATGGAATTCCATAAAATTCCCAAAATATTACAATGGCATAATAAAGAAAACAAATGGGAGGGAGAACTTGTTGGGATGCTTTCAAGTGAAAGTGCTTCGACCTATTTATAGTTGAGTTTTAAAGACCAACCTTGCAAATAACCTAATCGTTTAGGGACCAAAGGATAATTTCCCATGTACACAAGTTGGCAACTTGCCAACTTATCCACTTGCAAATACCTGGTGTCCATCCAAACCACTTGTCAACTTGTACCAAAATCAAACTTGAATTCTTTAGTGGTAATAAATTTAAATTCTTTGATGTTTATAAAATCGAACTTAAATTCATGTCAATTTTAACTACCATTTGAACTTTATCCAACTTGTATATATATAGGCCACACATAACATCAAATTCATAAATAGGGTTCACCAGTCATTTTAATTTCGAAGTATTTTAACATCAATGCCTTAGGCTTGTTTTGACATGCATGCTTCGTTTCCTATCCCTCCTACTTCCATAAACAGCACATTCCGAATATATACAAAATAAAAATGGAAATTAGGAAATGGGGTTGGGTGGGGGATGCTGTCCGGGTAAGATACCAGGACTATTGCACGACGAACATGGAGGAGTTGCTCGACGGCGATAATCTACATGTGTTTCGGTTGGTTAATGCATGCCGAGAGACTCACTACTTGAAATTGGGCCATGCCATATGCAAAAACAAACCAATCTAAGTGGCCGCCTAATTTAAAGAAGTTGCAATTTAATTTTAGGTTTTTTTGTTTAATAGGACAAACAATTTAATTAATTAGTACAATAGATCATATAAAAATTTATTTATAAATATACTACATTTATTTCAGTAACTTGGAACTCGTCTTCCAATAAAATTATTTGTCACGATGTGATAAAATTTAATAAAAAAATTATAACTTTTTAAAACTCATCACTTTGATGTAATTTTTAAAACTCATCACTTTGATGTAATAAGTTTAAATAAAAAAAATATTTTTTATTAAAACTCATCACATTGAATCTCCCGAATATTGTAACAAATATCGTAGGTCTCAAAATAAATTTCTATATGCCATATTTTCTCAAATAATTTACCCGTTTACCATGTTGGTAAAAAAAACCTTAATCTTCTTCAGTTGGGTCCTCCACCACCGCCTAAAATGTTCGATTTAAGTTGACAATTGCAAGTTTGGTGACACTTCAATCCTATGTAATGAAAACCTTGTTCCACCAAAATCTCCTTATAGAAATAATGTTAGTTTAAGGGTACACTAAATCACTTATTCCAAGTTTTGCAACATTTCCTCTGCTTCGATTCGATCATCATCACAATATCACCTTCCACACGGATGAACCGACCGAGACTGACAAGTCCATCGTCTATTCAAAATTTAAATTTTTTATATATTTTCTTTTAATAATTTGTTAACGTTCTCAACAAAATAATTTATAGATGATCTGTAAATATCACTTTCAGCCCAGTCGAGAAGATTGGATCTCAAACAGGACGTCTTCATCATGTACGAATTTATTCAAAAACAGGAAATCAGACGAACAACAGTAAAATAGGTTGGATGCCATCATTTCGTTTCAACGATACGTAATTATCACCACATTCATATGCTACAAAATCCAAGTTATAATCAAATATTTACAAAGCACGATCCACATTGAAAACTTGCATGGAGAGAAATGAATCCTCTTCCAAACTCTGGTTTCCCCCTTTGTTCTACCACCCAACAAATCCCAAGAAACTGGAAAAGAGGAGAAAAGAGCCAAACAAAATCATAAATGAAAACATCAGAATCAATAAACACAACAACGACACTAAATTACTAATTGTAACGTTAGATTAAACCTTGATCTGACATAATTGCGTGACAGAATCAGATACTCGATACCCAGAGCATAGTTTTAGCAGGTGAAGCTTGTAAAATCAGAAATTTGAGATCGTTTTTCCCAGAACCTTGTTTTAAGAAATAATAGTACCAATAATTCTGGGAATTTGGAGAAAAAAAATGAACGAACCTGAGAGAACGAACAGCAAGGTGATGGGAAAGAACATGGAAGAAGAAATTGGCACCGTGAAGGAACACCACAACTCCGGTACACCCCAAGACGAACAGCTCTATCATCGTTGCAAATCAAATCACAGAACCCAAGGAAAGTCGAGATACAAAACAGAAAGAGCAGCGGCAGAGGCAAAGCACTCCCTAGATTCTTATATAATTGGACTTTGCTTGATGATCATCTAATTAAATAAAGACTGTCATAGCGTGCTATTAAATCAATTTAGGTTAATTCCATAAGAGTCCTCAAACTATAATCTATATTTTTATGTCGACCCTTAAATTTTAAAACATATCCATTGAATACTTTTATTAGCTAATCATCAGCTTAGGATTAAATTCTAATTCGGAGAAGCATACAATTTTAATTTCACAACACAAAAGAATAGGAAAGTATTTGTAGAGTTTATAAGCATTTACATTATATATTTTATCAAATATGTTTTTCAAAATAATAATAATAATAATAATTCCATAATATTTGATATTAAAACGTCTCTTTAACTATTTGGTTTTAGGTTGAGTATCCTACCAGACATAATAGATAAAATAGACGATCAAATAAAATAATTTAAATGAACAACCATAACAATGATCCATAATAAGAACATCATAAAATTAAAGGAAAGATAATACCATGTCTTAAAAAGGTGAAAAACACATAAAAATATTCCAAGTTAATTCTAGATATATTTAAATATAGTATAAACTACAAATTAATACCTAAATTACTAATTTTAGTTCTTTTAGTACATCAACTTTCAATTTTTTTGAACTCATACCAGACATTTAGTTTTTGTTTCGTTTTAGTATCTCTTCATTAAAAATTTAATGGGTGATTTGCAGCACCTTTCTATGGGTAGATTGCATAATTCATCACTCAACTATCTTCTAACTCCTATTTTGGTCACTAAACTTTAAATTTTTTAATATAATTACTTAACTTTCAAATTACTCCTAATTTAATCACTCTAACTTTCAAATTTAATAATTTTATTTTTTAATTATATGTTAATAAAATAATAAAAATGCATGTCACAAAAATTATTAAAAAAAAATTAGAGTGATTAAAATAAGAGTAATTTGAAAGTTGAGTAGTTAAATTGAAAATTTTTAAACTTTAGTACCAAACTAGGAGTGAGAAGATAGTTTGCGTGATGAATGATGTAATTTATCTATAAAAAATGCATTTTCATTAGGTTTTCAACGAGATACTAAAATGAAACAAAAACTAAAAGTTAGCTGTGATTTTGTAAAATTGAAAGTTTAGGTATTAAAACAGATCAAAAGTGATAGTATAGGTACTAAAGGCATAATTTACACTTAAAAATGGATCAAACTGTATAATATAATTGTGGTCTGCCAACAGCCATTCCGGGGGTTTAGGTCTTAGCAATAGCCACAAGCTATGATAAAGTTGTGACCGACCCGCCGCCACCAACCACTGGTGTTGCACTTCTGGCTCTGTCTACTTGGACTTTTGGTTTTCATGTGGGTTGTTGGTTTGCAAGTGGTCCCCTGTTTTACTTTATCAAGCCTTACACTTTGTATAATTGGTGGTCGAATCTTAGTTTTAGTCCTTACCATTACTCAAATTTAGAACCTAGTTCTTATACTTTAATTAGATATTGTGTCATTTTCTATCATTAATTTGTCCATTAATTATCCTGGTTAGAATATTGCCACAACTTTTTAGAAAAATCTTCATCCCAACTCATTACCTTGGAAGAGAGACGGATCCCAACTGCTTATATTCGGCGATTCGTGATATGTATTGTAGATTTACTACATACGTCAGGACTACAGTTGGCGACACCGAGGCATTTTCGGTGGAAATCGGACTCTACCAGGGGTCGGCTCTTAGCCCTTACATCTTCGCCTTGATTATGGACGATATCTATTGTGCGACACCATACGGTGTTCCATGGTGTATGCTTTTCGCTGACGACATTGTCCTAGTTGCTAAAACAAGAACTGAGCTAAATAGTAGACTGGCTACCTGGAAGACTGCTTTGGAAGAAAAAGGTCTAAGGATCAATATTGCAAATACAGAGTATTTATGTTCAAACTCCAATGGGAACCAAAGCGATGAAGATGTAGAGCTATGCATAGAATGACACATTCTCCCCTCAAAGGATTGTTTCAAGTATCTAGGGTCTATGATACATAAAGATGGGGGTGTGGATGATGACGTTACACACCGTGTAAAGGCGGGATGGCTAAAGTGGAGGGCTGCTACCGGAGTTTTGTGTGACAAGAAGGTGCCTCTAAGACTTAAGGGAAAATTTTATAGAATGGCAATAAGACCAGCGCTACTGTATGGATCAGAATGTTGGGCAATCAAGAAGGATCACGTAAGGAGGATGGAGGCCGCATAAATGAGAATGCTTCGATGGGCTAGTGGTAGGACTCTGTGGGACATGGCACCAAACTCTGCTATTAGAATGTCCTTAGGGGTGGTGCATGTATCTGAAAAATTGAGGGAGGGAAGACTACGGTGGTTTGGGCATGTCCTTAGGCGACAAACCGTCGGATGCAGTCAGGAGGGTAGAGTTGATTATAGTCGACGATGCCAGAAGGAGAGTACGACCAAGGCGGAAGTGGGAAGACTGATTGAGATCTGATTTGAAGGATTTAGCCCTTACCGAGGACATGACCTCTCATAGGAAAGTATGGAGACTTAAGACCAGGGTAGCCGAGTAGTGCGGGTCATATCCATAGGGTGTATCATCTCTGTCTTCTTTTAATGCTTAGGTAGAAATTTTCACAACTTATACTTTTTATATGTTTCTGTCATTGAAATTTATGAAGGCTTACAACTATGGTAGCGGAGAAGTGTTTGCCTTAGTTAGGTTTTAACCCATTTGACTTCATTCATTCTCGTTGCTTGCTATCGTTGACTTCTGTGTATCATTCTCTTCATGTTTCCTCTTTTTAATTTTAGTCGGGTCTTACGTTTCTGTCTATATGCAGAGCTTTTTATGCAGGGATTTATTTGCAGGGATTACTTCCCATCACAGACGCGCATATGTAGACTGCATATGAACACTGTTTCAACTATGTATTTATTTATTTATTTATACATGCATTGCATTTTATATTTATTTTTAATTTTCTGACTACCGGAGGTCTTTCACGGAAGCTGCTCTCAACCTGGCGTTAGGGGCAGCCTACTACCCTACCTCCCTCTTACCCCATTGCATATGAGAATAGGGTTTTGTTGTTGTTGTTGATACATATCAAATTGAAATACAATAAAGAGGGACCAAAACCACAATTTGACCTATAATTCATTAAATCTTTGTTAAATATGGACGTCGTTTCTTTCTGCTCCAAATAGGATATTATTGGGATGCCGAGTCATCATGATTTCAGTGAGTCTTATCCATTTATCAATTGGATAGAGCCGGGTGGATTATTATTAACCCAAACGTACGCTATGTATCGTATTTGTTTTGGAAAATTTAATTGCAGTACATCTGGATAAATATAAGATTCGAATATAATAAATTTTGACCTAGTTTAATTTTATGAGATTTTTTTTAAAAAAAAACTGAATCAAAATTATATTAGATTGTTTTTTTTAAAAATTATATAGGATCTAATTTAAATTTAAAATAATTTTAAAATTTGATTCGAAGATAATAATATAATTATCTTATATATATTTAAAAAAGATTATAATAAAATATCTCTCTATATATTTCAGGTAAATTTCTATTTTATCTAATAAAATAAATTATGTATATACCAGGTCAAGTTAAATGTGAATTTTACTTAATAATTAAATCAAATTTTGAGTTATATTTTTTTAAATCCAGATAAAATCGGGTAACATATAAAAGACAAAATACTTGAATCAATGAAAAAATTAACCTAATTCAACCTATAATTGTCCCTAGTACATAAACATACGTGACATTTAAATAATACCAGTATATCATATTTCCCTTGAAAAATTAATTGTTTTTAATCCGAACGTAGGAATAGTTAAATTGAAGTTTCATCGTTTAATTAGCACAAGTGAAGTATTGTACAATAAATAGACTTTCCCTTTGTAAAGAATATATTATTTAACGTGATGTGATTGGAATAAAACGATACAATGTTGGTGTATTAGCACAATTCTTTCATAAAGTGGGATATCATTATCATCCCCATGTTTTCCCCTTTGTGTTTTAGGCGCACCGGTATAACGTGACAACCCGGCAAACTCTTACATGCCGTATCTTGTGGGAGGAGATGCGTGGGGCTTTGGATTAGTTATTTGTTGTCGCTCAACCAATCACCAGCTATGGAAATTTCAAGTTAGAAAGAAAAAGCAATGTTTTGTTTAATGGTGGGACGAATAGCCTCAAGAGTCTTAAATAGACTGCAAAGGGACCTTATTCAAGTAATCGGAAATCAACTAAATGAGTATTAATGTAGTTGACTCTGACGCTATTGAAAATTCATGGAGATCGTACTACTCTAATATCACATTTTGCCCCCCCCCCCAAAAAAAAAAAAAACTTGACCACGTTTCACAATATTCCCACTAGATCTTTATTGTCCATAACTTGACAACTCTCCCAACTTGGTCATGGAACTTGAATCTTTAGTCCTTTTAGTGATGTGATTCAGCCATATCACTTGAAATTTTTTTCTTCAGAAAAATGTTTCTTTATCCAAGTGTCACAATATCCAAAAGTTGCCATGTTCTAAGACCAATATGGACAACAATAATGTTAGGGACCAAGTTTGGACAAAGTGCTAAAGTTCAGGGCATTACTCACTCTACATCAAGAAGATATCAACTCTACTTGAAACCAAGGATGGTGGATTTATTATTCCGTTAAGCATGCTATCCATGGGAGCACCTTTGATAATCATATAAGCTACAAATTATTCAAGGGAGAAACAGGAAGAAGAAAAAGAAACACGAAACCGGGTGATATAAGGTATTTAACTTATTCAGAGAAAAGAAAAAAATTGGTAAATTTTCCATCTGATACCTACTTCCAGATGCTCAAAGAACAAATGTTGTAATAAAATCAGATTTTCACATTCGTCCAAGAAGAATACATGCATCAAAGTCCTACAAAGTTGGTCGAATTTTCATGGAGATGAATAGCACCGCACATCCCAACCACAATCATCCATCTACAGTAGAAGAAAATAGGTGCATGGTATTAGAAATTTGTTACCATTTTATCCATACTAAAGAAGATCAACAATGATAATCGTGTTTCAACTGCATTTTATAAAGGTTCAGATCACATCTCTATTATTGACACAGAAAATGAGAGGATTTGGATACAGAGAATACAAGTTAAAAGAAAACGAAACAAGCCAATGGAAGCAGAAGATTGTATTCTAGGAAGGCTATAGGTTCAAAATCTAGGGTTTGGTACAGCCAAAGTCGATATATGCATGAAATCCAATCTGTCAAAGACAATACTCAATATGAAAAATGCTTATTTCCTTACAGCTCCTAAATATTTAGATCGGTTTATTTAGCTTTTACGGACATTAATAAAAATAACAAGATATCATCATATTCATAATCTGATCCTACTCGATGATAAGAATGTTAAATTTATGAACAGGAGAAAGTATCTAAAGACCCTACTAAAGTTTTATTCAACCACCTTGTCTTAAGAGTGCATTTATCAAAAATGTTGCCCGAACTCTCCACATTCGTCATACATCATCATTGCAATCTGGGTGAAACAACAAATCATTATTGGTTTCATATCCTACTTATACTGGCACGAATAAGAACATAAATAAGGTTTAGTTCAAGTTAAGTTGGAAAACTTATGAGTTATTAACCATCATATAACAATCTCCTCAATTATGCATAAGCAAAACCCATATCATCTCGAAGTGCTAGATTTCATGCATTTTTTTTCTTTGAAAAGTTGTAGTAAATTGCATCACCGAGAGCCTTTTATCCCTTTCCCATCCACAGAGTACGTCAAGGAGTAAGCAAGTCTAAACATTCAAAAAACAACATGGTTCACTTTTCAGAAGGTTAACAGTAATTTCGGGAACAATTAGCTTATTAATTAAAAACGTTTAACAATCTTTCATCTTATGGCTCTAAAACCATGAAATTATAGGGAATAGCATTCAAACTCTTGCCATTTCACAATTATGATCAACTGATGCACTGAAGAAAAATTCAGTAGCAGCCCCAAAAAGTTTTAAAAAGAAAAACAAATACAATTCACTCCCTCTCTGTGCCTTGTCCTTCATCTAGTCTTGTATTGGCCTACAAAACGATAAAAAACATTTACATTCTTCCACTTATTTACAAGAGAGAGAAGTGATTATTTTACCTATCCAAAAAGGGAAGAGAAGAAAAGGGAGATGAAAAGGGGAGTGCAATATGCAACATTTGGCTATTGTTTTTGAGTGGTTGATGTTCGTCTATGAAACTTCTTGTCGGCCAGCAGACGCTTATGCTTAGCAGATACAGCCTACTTTCCCTCATAAATTCTAGTTACAATAAAAAAATTCCCCTTACTGCTATTTTATTGCCAGCACCTCTTCTGGTTACAAGATATCCGATAAATAACAAACATAGCAATGAAGTACTGAAGCTTATCATTAGGGTAGTTAATCTCAATTCTGTAATTAGTGACTCTTAATTCAAGTTTCATTCAGTCATTAAGAACGCAAGCTTTCTCTATCAGAAAAATAGGCAGACTTCCTATGTACTTAAAAGTTAGAAACTTCGAATGCTTTAATACCTAATAATTTAAATTTTAAACATATCAAAACAAAAAAAAAAAGTGTAAAGAAATACCTTCAGCGGTCCAATCGGGTCTCCGGCGAGAAACAGAAAGCATGGAATTCAGCAGAGCTGAAGCAGTGGCCGTGTGATACGGCAGCATCGTTTCCACACAGCAGCTCAGCTCAATGGGTAACCTTTTTTTTTCAAATTTATAAAGAAATATTCAATTAATTTATTTCCCAGGAGATAAAAGATACGAATTTAATATCCATTACCTGAAAATACGAGCAGGGAACGGATTCTGCTTGGAGATCCGAAAGGGCGAGCAAGCGGGTCGCGTCATAGGCTTGGCAGAACCAGCGAGTCTGGTTGCCGCGGAAGCTCGCGAGGCCGCGGAACGGATGACGGACCTGGCGGCGGACATTTTTGGTGGCGGGGATTTTGGAGGTCTTCGGGTTTGTTTGTACAAGGGTTTAGGCTTTCGAGGGGTTTTGCATTTAGATGTGTTTTCTGTGTATATACTCGTATGGTAAGATTGTAGAATCTGTAAATTGATGATCTATTGGGCTTTCAAATGATGGGCAAAATACTCCTTTGGACATTTCATTGCCTTCATCAGCTAGATTCATTATTCAAATCAGGTTGTAGGTTCGAATAATAACATTTATATGTTTTTTAATTAAAATTATGATAATAGTTAGTTTAAGAGGTAAACAGCTTAATATCACTTAAGTAGGTTTCAAGTTTCAGTTATTGTGTATGTATAAAATCCTTGTTGGGAGAAAATTCTTGTTGGGAGACTCGTCCACTATGCGACGAGAGTCGGTTTGGATTAGACAGTGCTAAGCTTTAGAATCTGTAATGTTCCGAATTCTGAGTTAGTAGTTTAGGTCAACTAGAAACCCATATTTTGAGTTCAAATGACCCATTATAATAGTTTGGACCAAGTTAAGTGACAGTGGGCTTGGGTTGGGCCCAAGAGAGTTAAATAAAGGTGATGAATATTTTATGAAATAAAAGAAGAGGGACCAAAAGTGCAATTTACTCATTATTCAAATTGAAAGCTAAAACCCCCTATTTTATGTCTTTTTACGTGAACCACTCCCCCTATCAGTTTATCAAACACTCTTCTCTTCATCTCATCTCATCTCATCTTTCTTCTCTCCTCCTCCTCCCTTCAAGTGAAAGTTTCAAGTATTTCAACCCTAGTTGAGTTTAGATAAGGTAAGCATGATAATCTTCAATCAAAGAGTTTCAATTTAAGCTCCATTTATCAAGTTTTACACTTAGTTTCCAAAAATGAGTTTTTGGGAGGTTTAAGAGAATCTATGGATTCTAGCTTGTTTTTAATAGATTCAAGTTATAGGAAGTGTTCTTAACTTTAATCCAACCACTTAGTTAAGTTAGTAATTAATTTCCTTACCTTTGATTAGTGAAAGAAATGGTTCAAGGGCAAGAGAAAAAGAAAAGTTATCTCTTGGGTGATTTGAGGGCATTTATAGCAGGTAACACATTTACAATTTATTCATACCAATTGTAGGTCACCAGTAACGCATTCTAACTTAAGAGCTGAGTTGAAGCATGTTGAATAGTTTCATGGTAAATTCTATGTTTTAGTGTTTATAGCATGTTTCAAACCCTTATTTATGACCCCTTAATATCACATAAAACAATAATAATGATTGGGAACCTCAATAGAACAATTTGGGTGATTTTAAGTGCAAACTTCGAGTACAAGTAGGACATTTTCGAGTAAGGGTATCGCTACTATGAGATTGGTACGATACCCATGGGTGGTATCGATACTAGGATTGCAAACCAAATTCCAGAATAATTTGGTGTTGATACCCTGGTCAATATCAATACCTTAGCTTAGGAGTATCGATACTGGGATGGGAGTATCGATACTACCCCTCCTTATTCCTTAGTTAAAAACATCTAATGAGTATCGATACCTTAGGTGCATTATTGATACTCTAGAGTTAATATCAATACGGAGGTGATTAATATCGATACTAGCCAGTCGAGAAACATTTTGGAGCAGTCAAGATCCAGACCGAGCTGCTGAGCATAGTACATTTCGAGTTATTTCTTTAGAGGACATGTATATTTGTAGACCCCTTTTTGTATATTCAAGTCATAGCTTTTTGTATATATTTTCAAAATATATTTTTTCATATTGTTAATAATAAATTTTAAATAATAATGATTCAAATTTAAAAAAATCAATAGGTAACAATTTAAGTGGGATAGATGGAGTATTTTTTGGTACAACTTAATAATTAATATTTATAGGGTAAACTACATGTTAAGTACTTATGTTCATTTTGGTACATGAATTTTATTTTATGTTTTAAAATATTACCTAACATTTAATTTAGGTTTCACTTTGGTACATCGTCATTAAAAATTTAACGTTGATGTTAACGTGTCACCATAAAGTAATGTCACATCATAATTGAAAAAGTAAAAAATATCACATCAACAATTCTAATAATTTTTTTAACGGGGGATAACAAATTGAAACATAAACTAAACATTAGAAAAAGTAAAGTTTAAACATCCAAACAAAATAAAAATAATAATTTAATACTAAACATGTAGTTTACCCTTTTACATATATTATATATAGATATGTTTTTATTTTTTTAAAATTTTTTAGGGGGCCATGGCCCAACTAGTCCTTAAAAGTTTCGTTGCCTAGAACCAAGAGGATATTGGTTAACGGATAAAATACTTGCTCAATTCATTGACCAAAGTTATAATAATCATTGATCAATTAATTAAATTAATTCAATTAGATCGATTAATTTAATTAAATCAAAATATACACACCCAAAATGTCAAAATGCAAACAATAGCCAATACATGGGCCTTCAACAAAATCCCCTGATTTTATGCCAAGGTCATAGTCTTAATATTGGTGTAAATGAACACGTTATTTGATGACATGTTTATATAAACATTCGTTTATATTCACTTTTTAAACAAGTGAAAATGAATAGATGTGTTTCGATTCATTTGTATTCACGAATAAACTTGTTTAAAAGCTGATTCATCTGTTCATTTATCAACTCGTTTACTCATTTCTCATTTTATTTTTATATTTTAAATACTGGTGAATGTAGATATTGAATTGAATACACAGTAAACTTTGGAATTCAAATTGAAAGCTTAAGGAGTTTAAGGACTATTGTGTAATTTCACCATTTTTCTATACATAAAAGCGATCATGTTCAAAAAAAATAAATAAACACGTTGGCGAACGTTAGACAAACATATTGATGAATACATAAACGAATATGTTCGCAAACATTAAGTAACATGTTCGTCAATATTAAATGAATCGAACACGAACACATCGAAAAAAATAAACGAATATAAATCAAACATAAATACTTTTAAAGTTAAACAAACAAAAACGAACACGACTTCAAGTCGGGTTGATTTACACCCCTTACACCCCTAGTATTCGGCAATGGATCTTGCTTCTCCAACCAGCCTGGCAACAAGTTGCAGCACTTTCTTCCCAGCGAGGTGGAATAATTGGATAAGATAAAAAGAGAGTAGGTGATAACATTAAATCCCATAATAATATTCTACCTCATTCTTGTCCCTGCTAACTTCCATTTCAAGCAAAGCAGCCCATTTGATCATAAATTAATTTTATTTCATAACATTAATCAAATCGAACCAAACACACTTCTAAAAACCGTTGGATAACTGCTAAAATAGATAGTATTATGAAAAGAAAAAGAAAATTTATATTCAAATTTCAGTGATTATAATAGATAATTCAATATTTTAAACATAAATCATAATATTAAGGACCGACATAATAGAAGTAAATAATAATCTAAAACCAGATAAAAATAAACTATATAAGAAAATTGTTAAATACATGCTTCCAAAAGAGCATTAAATTATTTAATGGGATTAAAGAAAATAAACTGATTTCAAAACCAAAAAAAAAAAAAAATACACATATTTTAAAAAAGTAAAAGGTTAATAATCAAGTTATAATAAAGGGTCTTAAAAATATAAAGATTTTGACCCTATATCTATTCAAAGTGGTCCATTTTTTTATGTACTTTTATTTTGTTAATTTTCATTTTTAACCGTCCGATTGAATCTCCAGCATCATGATTACTCCCACAATCATATGCTCCTATTTCTTTGGATAAATATCAAAATTACACACAAATTTTGATCAAATATATAAGATGATACCTAAACTTTGAATCTGATTTAATATTACACATATAAAAAAGCAACGCACTCACTCCTTTTTTTATATTGGATACATATAATTATTTATTTATATATAATATTTAAATATAAAATGAAGTTACATTGATAATAATTTATTAAAATTCAAGAATCATATTATACATTTTGCAAAAGTTTATATGTAATTATATTATTTATCCATTTCCTTTACATTGGGTTCCATACATTCATTGAAACAGTACTGGTCCCAAAATAATTACTTAGCCTCACAATTTAAAGTTTAAATCAATTTTTTTTTATAAATATATAAAAGGTCAGAACCTACCCTAATAAAAAGTATAGTATGAACATTAAATCCACAGATCCCATATGTTATATAATAATGGACCTGCAGAAACATTAGTATTTAAATTGTTACAAGTTCATATGTTAAGTCAACAAAGGCAGAGGACCAAAGCGAGTAAAGTTGTAAAGGAAAAAAACAATACATCCGCCATTCACGGAGAAGATAACCAAATGGAAATGGATGATTTTTCACTTTCTCTTATTTAGTTATTTACTTTTCCTTTTTTAAATTTTGGAACTATATACGTTTTTTTTAAATTCTTTAGTTTCCTGCTTTTACTATGATGGGTTAAAACCCTAATTTTGGATCCTCTGGGCTATTATTATTTCATTGTTTAATTTAGGACCACATGCAGGTTGACTAAGGATGATGGAGGGTAACAGTTTGAGAAGGGAACGATGTTTGCTTTTTCTAGTCTTGGCTTTGAAAGTCTTAACAAAATCAACAAACCTCACCTAAGTATAGTTTGTGTGGACAAAACAATTAATGTACTAAGACTTTCGAGGTTCGAAATATAAATTTCCAGTTTGATAAAATATATTTCGATTTTTGGGTGCAAGTTGGACACAAATCAAAGTGGGCTGGTGTCAAAGGCATGCACATGCATCAATATTCAGCTATTGAGTGGAGTGCCCGAGAAAGCACTATCAATAAATTACCACTAGTCTTATTCATACATGGTTGTATTTGAGTTTAATTTCTAAGTGCTCTACTGTTGATGTAAACCATGTTACTCGTCAAGCGAGAAGAAGTCAAATTCGAGTTTTACATATGAGGATGTGGGGATTTCTTAAACAATAACAGATACAGAAATGTCACTCATCAGATATTCATGAAAGATTAAGATTTTGGCAAGATTATGCTTGATGACAATCATGAACCATCACTGTCGATTTGACTTTAGATTGGCTCGATTCAGAATATAATTCGATTTAGATTGAAAAGTTGAAGAACAATAGCATTGAAACATACTTACATTTTTATTCAATACATTGTTTCATAAAGTAAAAGAAATAAGAAGCATATAAGTCTCTCATATAATATCTTTTAGCATATCTACCTCAAAGGCAAATGTTGCAAACCCTGAAAATAACAAAGATGACAAAGCAAAACACAAGACCCAATAAATACTCTTCAGTCTTCTTTACTAGTAAAGTTTCATACTTTTAAAGAAAAAACCAAGCAGTTCCCTTCCTTTCATGGCTCGAACTCTTCATCGTTCTCCTCGAACTCCTCTTGGTTCTGGTTGTTCCTTCCCATGTTGTTGTAACGGTTCTCATTGAACTCGTTCCTGGAAGCGAATTTCCTCGAGTTCTCGAACTGGTTCGGATAGTAATTGTTCCCGTTTCTAATATCGTGGAAATACTTACCGTTCTCAAAGAATCGAGTATCGCTCATGCCTTGCTTCTCACCATTGTACCCATTGTTGCCATTGTAGTGGTAGTTGTTGTTGTTGTTGTTCTCCTTGGTGCTCCATCCTTTCTCTGTGAACATGGCTTCTCCATAGGCATTCTTGTTGTACTCATTGTTGCCATTGTAGTAGTTGTTGTTCTTCTCCTTGGTGCTCCATCCTTTCTCAGTGAAAGTGTCCTCTTCATTGTTTCCATTGTAATAGTTGTTGTTGTTGTTCTGATTTTGTTCGGTGCTCCATCCTTCCTCGGTGAACCGAGTTTCGCCGAGATTTTCCTTCTGGGTGCTCTCGACGGCGCTCTTGCTGTGGAAGTAACCGTCTTTGTTGTTGTTTGTGGATTCAGGGATCATATTGTAGGGCTCATCGGGGTGGAACTTAACCGGCGTGACATAGGGTTGATAGGTTCCTCTGTTGTTGGTATTGCGGCCGTAAAGGCCGTAGCCATTCTGGGTCTGGGGAGTGAACCTCGGCTCTTGCTGCTCTTCTTTGACGGTGGGCTGTTTTCATTGTTGTTTCCCTTGGGATTTTGCTGAAGAACTCTCTGGCATGGATCTGGATGGAGAAGAGGGAAAGGAGGAAGATGATAGAGAGGCGTTTTGGTGTGGAAGCCATGGCTGAGGAGGAAAGCTGAGTAATGAGGGGAAGGTGATGATGATAAAATGGTTTATATAGAAAGGGGAATGGGTTTGTTTTCATCCGGTTGTTCAAAATTTTCTACTCAATTAGCTGCAGATGGGACGGGCAGATGGTGATGATTGTGGCCCCTTCCATGAGAGAGGGAGAGAGAAAACCTTATCAAAGGAGGGCCATCACTTTGTGGTTGCTACTTTTAATATCATAGGAGTTAATTACATTAAATTTCTTTAAATTATAATTTTTATTCTAAATTGATCATTAAATTTTAAAATATTTTATTATCAATTCTTATATTATGATTTCATTTTAAATTGATCTTTAAATTTTAAAACATTATATCCATCCTCATATTATCAATATTATTCCATTTTGATCATTTCATTAACATAACATTATCTCTATTCGATTTTTTAAGTTCATGAGAATTGAACTTATATCATTCTAAAATAAATTATTACATTTTTTAATATCTTGAAAATTGAACTCATTACCTTCTAAAAATATTAATTTGTTTTCGAAGGTTCTAAGAATTTTTTAGAAGTTCATGATTTCAATTCTTGATATTGATAGTTTGAGGATTGACATAAAATCTTTTAAAGTTCATGGATCAATTTAGAATATAATATAATTTAGGGATCAAAATTAGGGATGGATATGGATTGAGTTTTCGGTCAACCTGACTTGACTCGACCCAACACAAATATATTTATACTTTTTTTAATTTTATTAGATAAAATAGGGATCTAATTGAAAATATATATAGAGAGGGGTGTTATTACAATTATCCCTAAATATATAAAGTATAATTACATTATTTTTCAAGTCGAATCGAGTATTTTTCACCTTAAATTTGAACCCGATCAGATCAAACTTATTCTCTAAAATATTTGACTCGATTAGACCTGAACTTAATTTAAAAAAATAACCCAAAAAAATATAGTTGTATCAAAACTCATCGAATTTGAGTCATGTGTCCATCCCTAATCGGTATAGACTATTGTAAAACATATATACTAATTTATATAGTCCTAATTTACAAACATCATGGGCAATTATCTCATGTTTTAAATTAGGGTATAACTTTGGATCAAGGTGTACATTAATAAACGCTCACAATAATCAAAGATAAATTCCTATTAAGTTATGATAATATTATATTGTAAACTAGCCGTATTGCCGTGTCTATTTTTATGGTCCATGCTATGATGTTTGTCATTCATCGTGGACAATAATATTTGTTTGTATTCAGTATTTACCTGAACTATTCGATTGAATTTTAAATTTTTATATGAACCATTTTATTTTTAAATGACTAGTTCATATACTTCTATAATTTAGAGGAATATTCAATATATATAATTAATTTACACTTATTATTTAGAAAGTGATTTCAAAAATCAATTCAAATTCAGATTCTTTATAATTCCATCTCCTCGTTGTTGTAAAATGTGTAAGCTTTTCCACTTAAAGATTCCCTCGTGTGACTAGGGTTGTAAAATCGGGTAATCGTTCAGGTTTCAGTCGGATCCTGGTAGGTCGGGTAAAATCAGATATAGGTCAAGTCAGGTAAATTTGACACCAGATCCAGATCGGGTTCAGGTCAGGTCAAATCAGTTCGGGTTATTTTCATGTTGATTTGACACCAGATCCAGATCGGGTTCAGGTCAGGTCATTTTCAGTTTGGATCGTTGTCAGTTCAGGTCCGAATCAGTTAAAAAGCAGGTTAATTCAGGTTCGGATAGACTTCAGGCGGATCTCGTTCAGATCGGGTCACATCATTGGCAGATAAAATTCAGGTTTTAGACTTTTGATTTTGCGACTTGAAGGACATGATCGGCTGTGGATGTCAAAACCCACCACTTTCCATTATGTAGAAATGAAGGTGCTTTTTGCTCGATATCCTTTGTTCTATTATAATCCGGCTTTTTGTTGGGTTGTAATGTAAATAGTACATGATGGAGCTCGAAGAGAAACATCTATTTTCAGGGGCAAGGATCTAGGGTTAGTTAATGGAAATCAATAAGTTGGAACAACTTCGTAAGTCTATTTTTGATATAGAAATAGAAATCGAAAGGCTCCGCTTCAAACTATTTTCAAATCAAAAAGTAAATTGTTGGAATTGGTAAAACTCTTTCGATCAAAAGTGTATCGTGCGGGAATTAATCGTTCATATGATTCTTTGATAGAAAGAAAAAAGAGAGAAAAAAAAAGGGCATGTTGCTGCCATTTTTGAAATGATTAAATATTGTCGAAGTAATGTCTAAACCCAATGATTCAAGAAAAAGATAAAAGATCCTAGAACAAGGAAATACCCTTTTCAATTTTCTCAACAACTAGATTAAAATGAAGAATCAAAATAGATTCTAAGCGAGACAAACAAAAAAGGGGTTAGAGACCACTCAATAAAAGAATGCCCAAGGATTTTTTTGGGGCATTTTGAGAGTTATTTGACTTGAGTTATGAGAGTACGAATGCTTTTTTCTTCTTTTTTTGTTTGCTAAAAAAAAGGCAGTTTAACGGTTGAAATGTCTAATTGATTTGCTGGTTTATGGATCTTTTTGACATTCTAATTCCATACATAGACATAACTTTAAAATTAATAATTAATCATTTTTTTCTCGAGCATTTATAACACGACCCAAATAAGCTTCACTCACTAAATAAGCTGAAATTTCACCCCGACCGTCAATAGGCTTAGCCAGGGCATTTATAACACGACCCAAATAAGCTTCACTCACTGGTATCTGAGCAATTTTTCTTGTTGCTTTTACAGAACTTCCCTCTTGTATCATCAAACCGTCACCCATTAATATAACACCAACATTATTTGATTCCAAGTTCAGGGCAATCCCTATTGTACCTTCTTCAAATTCTACTAATTCACCTGCCATTACTTCATCAAGACCATGAATACAAGCAATGCCGTCGCGCACTTGAAGTACGGTACCAGTATTTACAATCTTTACTTCTCTATTATATTGCTCAATACGTTCACGGATAATATTACTAATTTCGTCGGCTCTAATAGTTACCATGACTATTTCCTAATTTTTTTTTGGAAGAAAAAAAATAATGCCTACAATAAGTAAAAGGTAAAAAAAGGGCTAATCAGTTATTTCTTTCATCACCCCAAACAAGCCAATATTAGCGCTAATGGTACGTAAATGTAACTCGTTGTTTAAAGAACTATTCAGAGTTCCTAGAGCTCCTTGTAAAGCTTGTTGTAAAACCCGTTGTCGGACTTGATTAATCGCTCTTTGTTGTTCAAATAAATGGTTTCATTTTGTAATTTTCTAATTGTTCCAAATCTTATAAGTTGAATTAATCAAATTCAATTTTTCTCGTTCTATCTCAGAGTATCCATTCACTCGAAACTGATCCGCCTCTATTTCTACTTTCCGTAAGCGAGCCCGGGCCTTTTCCAGCCGTTCAATAGCCCCCTGGCAACAAGATCAAGTTGGTAAGGATTAAAATATCCCTTCATTTTTCTATTTATTTATATGATGGATGATCATAGAGGGGCCCCTTTACCATTCTGTATAAATAGGCTATTCTATTTGTACATATATGGAAGAGGGGCGCATTCAATCTTTCTTTGTCCATTAGTTTGGTTTCCTTTCATCGCGGGATAGAGCGCAGTACAACAGAGAGTTGTATGTTGCGTTCGGGAATGATGAATCGCTCCCGAAAAGGAATCTATTGATTCTCTCCCAATTGGTTGGACCATAGGTGCGATGATTTACTTCACGGGCGAGGTCTCTTGTTCAAGTCCAGATGGCCCAGCTGCGCCAAGGAAAAGAATAGAAGAAGCATCTGACTCTTAAATTATTATTTAATATTATTTAAATAATAATTAAATAATAATATATAATAATAATTAATATATAAAATTAATATATAAATAATATATATTATAAGAATTATATAATAATAAAATATATTATTATATTATTCTTAATAATATATTAATAATCTTATATATCTTAATAATACTATATAGACTTAATAATTCTATATAGAAATATAGATTTTTTTATATACAAATATAGATTTATAAATCGAAATATATTAATATAAATATTATTAATTTATATTAATTAATACTAATAACAAATATTATAAATTAATAATTGATAATAACTTGTAATCTTTGTCGATATCAATGGTGACTCATTATTTCGATGAATCATTTCTTCGGACAGAAGAAAATTATGTAAACACTTACTCGAAATCTCACTTATCAGATTCCATTGTGGAAGACATAATTTTTTCTGAAGAATTCGCCATGATATATCTGATCCATGCATAATATCATGAAAAATGGATACAAATTTTTGACTGCTACTTAGGGTGCGTTTGGTTCACGGAATGTAAGATTACCAGTGGGAATAAAAGATTACCAGGGAATAGGATTACTGGGAATGTTGTATTTTGTGTTTGGTTGGTTTAGCAGGAATGTAAGATTACCGTGTTTGGTCAAAGGAATAAAAGATTATTGGAATGTATATTTGACCAAATGTCCTTATTATATATTGTATAATATTACAAATTGTAAAATATTTATATATTTTCTTTAATAAATTAATTCATAATATTTATATAATTTTTTACAAATTAAAAATATAAAAATGTTTAATGAAAGGGTAAAAAAATTAACCCCTAAACTTCATATAAAATTTTAATTATAGACTTTTTTTGTAAATCTAAAATAATTTAAGGATAAATTTGTAATTTAACCTTCGTAGAATTTTTATTATTCAATGACAGAAGAAGGATATTTTTGAAAAAAAATAAAAATTTAAGGGCATTTTAGTCCAAAACACCGGTAATGTTACAATACCTAAGGGAATGGAGGTAATGACATTCCCAGTAATATACCCCAAAAAATTTACTATTGGTAATAAAACATTACCGGGAATGAGATTCCCAGCCAACCAAACATGGGAATGTGGGATTCCCATCCCATGGGAATCCCACATTCCTTGAACCAAACACCCCCTTAGTATCGACAAAAGGTCTGAAAAAGTATCTAAAAATATCAAATTTAGATATTTGTACCCTGTCGAAGTAAGGAACCATAGCATATATGTTTGGAATAGATTCCGTTTTAGGAGAGTTGAAAAAGCACTATCTCGTTGAAAGGTTCTATACATCCACCCTTTCTCAACGCATTTCTTTAGACAAAAACTCCGTTTTTCCGCTTTTCGGATGGTAAATATTTCTCAGAACATGGAGTGTGAATCAAACCCATGTTTGAATTGAAATTGAGATACTGATGCAAGTTCTTCTCTTCTAAATCAGATACAGATTGAGTTCAAATCGGGTTAATTTTTATTTTTGGATTAATTATTTTCGTCTTTCGCGAACGTTGAATTGCAATTTGTAATTGTATATGATTTAGAGTAAATTACTAAGAATATAATAATCATTGTTCAATTTTATGAAAATACAAATTAAGAATTAAATTGAACAAATATGAAATTGCAAATAAAAATTTAAATAAATTAAACAACACACATTGATGAGGGATCAAATCGAATAATTTTAAATTGTGATGTTGAAATTAATACAAAAAAGTACTAAATTATACCCATTTAAAAAGTTATGGGCCAATTAAAAAAATAGAATTAAGTAAAAAGTCTGGATCAATTTCATATGCAAATAAAATTTGGAGGACTAAATTGAACAAATATGAAATTACAAATAAAAATTTAAATTAATTAAACACACACATTGATGGGATCAAATCGAAATAATTTTAAATTGTGATGTTGAAATTAATACAAAAAAGTACTAAATTATACCCATTTAAAAAGTTATGGCCAATTTAAAAATAGAAATAAGTAATAAGTATGTGTCAATTTCAAATGCAAATAAAATTTGTAGGACTAAATTGAACAAATATAAAATTACAAATAAAAATTTAAATAAACTAAACAACACAAAAGGGATCAAATAGAAATAATTTTAAATTTTGAGGTTGAAATTAATACAAAAATATACTAAATTATACTCATTAAAAAGTTATGGCCAAATAATAATAGAAATAAGTAATAAGTATGGGTTAATTTCATATGCAAATAAAAAGTAGATGACTAAATTGAACAAATATGAAATTACAAATAAAAATTTAAATAAATTAAACAACACAAAAGGGATCAAATATGAAAAATATTGTAAAATGGACTAAATTGCATTCATTTTAAAAGTTGAGAAAAACATTAAAATAACTAATATATATATATATATATATATAAACTATATAGTTTATATATAAAGTATATGTATTATATATATAAACTATATAGTTTATATATATATTATGTATAAACTATATATACCATGTATAAACTATAATACTATATAGTTTATATATGAACTATTGAACTATATAGAACCTACATAGTTTATATATAAATTATATATGAATTATATAAACTATACAATTTATATTTATATATTATATAATATAAATAATATATATTGTATAAATTATATAGTTTATTAATATAAACTATATAGTTTATATATATATATATGGTTTAGGGTTTAGGGTTTAAATATTCAGGTTTAAGTATTAGGATTTAGGGTGTATATTTATATTATATAAACTACATACTATAATTTATATTTATATACTATTTATATACTATTTATATAAACTATAGTTTATATAAACTATAGTTAATATTTATATATTATATATAAAATATAGTTTACATATGAACTATATATATAATAAAGTTGATATTTATATGAACTATATTTTACATATAAACTATATAGTTTATATACTAACTATAGTTTACATATGAACTATATATATAAACTATATAGTTTACATATGACCTATATATATATATATACTATAGTTGATATTTATATACTATATAGTTTACATATGACCTATATATATATACTATAGTTTATATATATATATATTATATATATAAACTATATATACTATATAGAAACTACATAGTTTATATATAAATTATATATGAATTATATATAAACTATACAATTTATATTATATATTATGTATAATTATAAATAATATATTGTATAAATTATATAGTATATATATATATATATATATATATATAGTATATGGTTCAAGGTTTAGGGTTTATATTGATATTGATATTGATATTGTATAAACTATACAATTTATATTTATATATTATGTATAATTATAATAATATATATTGTATAAATATATAGTATATATATATATATATAAATATATTTTAGGGTTTAGGGTTTATATTTATATTGATATTGATATTGTATATAAACTATACAATTTATATTTATATATTATGTATAATTATAAATAATATATATTGTATAAATTATATAGTTTTTATATATATATATATAGTAATATGGTTTAGGGTTTAGAGTTTATATTTATATTTATATTGATATTTGTATTTGTATCTGTATCTATATCTGTATCTGCATCTGCATCTGTATTTTATTCGTATTCGTATTACAATGATGCTTGCTGAATTGATGCAATGATGCTTGTTGAATTGGTACATTGATGCTTGCCGGTTGCTACTATCTATTACTCACTAATGCCCTGTAAATTATTGTTGTTGGTCTGACTTAAATCAATTTTTGAACCTTATAAATTCTTATCTAAATAGTTACTCATGTGGAATTATGTTGGTGACATTTTGACTTTTAAAATTAGAAAGTTGCCTATAATTAAACATGTTAACATCATTTAGGTATAAAGGCTCGATGATGTTATTTCTGGTAGTATAGTTAGGCTTTTAACCTTGTAAAACCTTCACTATAAGAACTTTAACTATAAGATCTGAGAGCATTTATTCAAACATAAATTTATTTTTTTAGTTGATTTTATTGTAATTTTAGTGTTTGTAAGTGTAATAAAATTAACTTCATTTATAAATTTTTTGTTTTAGTATTTGTAATGTTATTCAAGTTTCAAATCTTTAATAAGTTCATCATTTCAACTAATATCTTTTTATTTTAAATTTCAAGTTAAGTTATACTTAAATTATTAGTCAATTTTCACATTAAAAGTAAATTAGATTTATGAATATTTTAACTAAATTTATATAATTTAATAAAATCATGTTCAATAAGAAAATATTTAAATTTAATTTAGTGATTATAAATAAAATTTATAATATAAGAATTATAAATAATATAAAGAATTTGAATTAATATAAAAATCAAATTTATAATATTCAAATTATAATGTAAGAATTATAAAAAATATAAAGAATTGTAATTAATATAAAACTAAATTTAGTTATCATAAGTTTATTATAAATTTAAAATAACATAATTATATTAATTGTAACTTATTACTTATAAGTCAGTATAATATCAAATTACTTTAACGTGTCATATCATTTACAAGTTGAGTCAATTACAGGTCAGGTTCATAACATGTCAGGTTGAAAACAG